GGGCACAGGCCCGGGTTGTGGGCTCGATCCCCAGTGTGGGGTGTGCAGGAGGCAGCCGGTCCATGATTCTCTCTCATCATGGATGTTTCTCTCTCTCTCCTTCTCCCTTCCTCTCTGAAATCAATAAAAATATATATATTAAATATATTTTATTGATTTTTTACAGAGAGGAAGGGAGAGGGATAGAGAGTCAGAAACATCGATGAGAGAGAAACATCGATCAGCTGCCTCCTGCACACCCCCCACTAGGGATGTGTTTGCAACCAAGGTACATGCCCTTGACCAGAATCGAACCCGGGACCCTTCAGTCCGCAGGCCGACGCTCCATCCACTGAGCCACACCGGTCAGGGCCAAATATATATATATATTTTAAATTGAGTAGAGCGGATGGACTGGGTGGGGACGGTGGCTTGGGCTGCACAGGACCTGCGTAAGGAGCTGAACCACCTCCATGAGCAGGTGGGCCTGGCCTGTGTCTCAGCCGCCCGCCCGCCCGCCTGCCCGCCTCCCTTCACGTCCCCAGGGTCACAGGAAGCCGAGAGGCAACATCCCAGGCCCCTGGAGGAACTGGCCTGAGTCAGCTGCCCCAAGGGCAGAGGGACCAGACTCGAACTCGAGGCTGTTTACGGAAGAGGGTGGTTCTCGCTTGAACTTCGTTGGGGGTTTCTAAGTGGAAGGAGAAACTAAAAGTGCTTTTGGCCCGGCCGGCGTGGCTCAGTGGTTGAGCGTCGACCTATGAACCAAGAGGTCAGGGCCCACGCCCGGGTTGCGGGCTCGATCCCAAGTAGGGGGCGTCAAGGGGGCAGCCGACTCTCATCACTGATGTCTGTCTCTCTCTCTCTCTCTCTCTCCCCCTCTCCCTTCCTCTCTGAAATCAATAAAAATAAAATAAAAGTGTTTTTAATTATGGTTTCATGACGAGGGGCCAGGGAGAGGCACCGGCCGCCAAGTATTGCCACATTTCTCAGTTCTCCGCGTCCCCAGGCTGGGCTGTGGTTGGTCCCATCACCCCGACAGCCCTGCTCACCCCCCTCTCCTGCCAACTGACACGTCACCCCTGGACGCGCCAGGAGAGGGCACGCGGAGTGCCAGGAGGGCGGGGCGGGGCGGGGAGGGGCCCAGCTGCATGGCTCAGGGCCCATCCGTCCCTCTGTGAAGGGGACAGGGCGGGAGGGGCAGCCATCTCTGGACTTGGGCATTGTAGCTTTTCTAAAGGCCAAACCCTTTAAGAACTCAAAGGACTTTTAAAATAGATATATTTTTTATTGACTCCAGAGAGGAAGGGAGAGGGAGAGAGAGAGCTAGAGACATCCATGATGAGAGAGAATCATGGATCAGCTGCCTCCTGCACGCCCCCTGCTGGGGATCCAGCCTGCAACCCGGGAATCGAACCGTGACCTCCTGGTTCCTAGGTCGATGCTCAGCCACTGAGCCACGCCGGCCGGGCCCTAAGCTCTTTTAAATACCGCCTGGCGAGTCCCGGTGGCCAGGCCCGAAGAACTTTAAGAGAGAAGCGGCCCTGATGGGAAAGGGGAAATGAAGAGACAGATTTTCAAAGACGACAGGAGGAGCTTCTGGCAGGCTCGCGATCTCTCCGGAGGGGCCGGGTGAGGGAGGAAGGAAAGACGGTTCCTGTTAATGAAGAGACAGATTTTCAAAGACGACAGGAGGAGCTTGTCGCAGGCTCGTCTCTCCGGAGGGGCCGGGTGAGGGAGGAAGGAAAGGCGGTTCCTGTATCCAGCTCCCCGGGCTCCCCAAGGAGATCTCAGAAAAGGCCCGAACGCTCCAACAGCTCACCCGCTCTCGGGCAAATCCACCTCGTTCCGGACCGGGCTCTTCAGGGGGGAAAGGGATGGAGACCCATCACACACACCCGCCCGGCAAGGAGCACAGGGCACCTGCACGGGATGGGGGGCCTCTCGGTGGTACTTGGATCCCCCCCCCAATTTTATTCATTCGGCAGACATTTATAAAGCGCCTACTGTGTGCTGGGCATTGCACCCAGTCAGAGAGGGTCTCTGGCTGGAAGGCAAGGAGATGAGGCCTGTCCACACACACCCCCCCCCCCCCCCCAATGATCCTCTCTCATCATGGATGTTTCTCTCTCTGTTTCCCTTTCTCTCTGAAATCAATATAATTTTTTAAAAGAGGAGAATGTGAAACCTGCCCCGAGGGTGCTCCGGGCGGGGGCTGCTCCCTCCCAACCTGGGAGGCTCAGGAAATCGACCCCCCGAGACTGGAGCTTCTGGCCTCCCAGCCCGGGCCCGCTCCCAGCTCCATTTCACAGAAGCGAAGACAAAGGCAGGGGTTTTCCCTGAGGCACTGTCGGCTCTCACATCCTCCCGGCAACACAGGCAACAAACACGCAACGACCCGCAGAGAGCAAACTTCCCCCAGAAACCCACGGGGAGCTCGTCCTCGGGGAAGGAGAAAACAACACCCGTGTCACAGCCGGTCCCTCCCTCCATCACCAACCGAATGCCAGAGACACCCACCCGGTTCAGAGCGGAACAAAGCGCGCTCATGGCTCCGTGGATAGAGCATCCGCCCCTGGACTGCAGGGTCCCGGGTTCAATTCCCATCAAGGGGATGGTACCTCCGTTGCAGGCTCCTCCCTGCCCCCAGCCCTGGTCGGGGCATGTGCAGGAGGCAACCAATGGATGCGTCTCTCTCACATGGATGTTTCTCTCTCCCTCTCTCTCATCGATGTCTCTCTCTCTCTCTCTCTCTCTCTCTCTCTCCTGGGGATGAGGATTAACAGCAAAACAAAACACTCGTGGGCAGGCTGGAGTCACATGCACCCCTGCTCTCTGACCAGGGGGGACTCTCTGTGTGAGCCCCCTGCGCCCCTGTGAGCTGCGGGGAGGGGGGTGGGCACCCCATGTAGCGGGAACGCGCCGCCGCCACGAGAGGGAATCGCAGGCCACGCTGAGCCCCTCGGCCTCGGATTTGAAGGATTTGAACGGGCCAATGGCCTCCCGGTGGCTGAAACAGGAAGCCAGATAACAGCGGGCGGTGCGGGCGGCGCGCGC